TCTCTCCTCCCTCTCCTCTCCTCTTTCTCTCTCTGAAACACACACTGCGCGCCGCTGGGAGCGAAGCAGCTTTACTGTGCTGTTCTCCAGACTCTACATTGACTGTACAGTGTTAGAGCGCGCTCCTTCCAAATGCGCCACACTAATCACTGTACAGTACATTCCTCCGCTAACAGGCCAGGAAACAGCCGTGCAGACACGCTCATCAGCGGCTGTCAACTACACAGCGCACATCTCCTCGCCTCAAACCGAGGTGAGCAGAGAGAGACTTGAGGCTTCTCTCTTATACAACATCCCTGGCTTCTTTTAAGGAGGACGATGGAGGCTAAAATTGTATGTCAACACACAGTCACATGCATGAGCATCATTTCTCATCCTTGCAGCCGAAATAGAAGTCCTGACGTGCGCAGCCAAAGAAGCGGAGCTCGCCTCAACAAGCTCAAAGAGTGCGAGTGGCTTTAAAACAGATGTGAGAGGAGGGGAGGTTAGAGTGAGGTGATGTGAAATGATGAGGGATAGGCTACATGGGTGGAATGAAGGGTTTGGAAAGGCGCAGTTAAAAATAAGGCAGCAGAAGCTTTACTCACCCTGCGGAGCGGAGAGCTGTTCGGACGGTGCAGCCGACGAGAGATCTGTGCGCACTGGGAAGCCTGGCCACCAAATTTGCAGTTTCCCCCTTCTCTCTGTCTCTCTGTCTCTCTCTCTCTCTCTCTTCCCCTCTCTCCTGCTCTCGCCAGTCACCGCACACACTCTCGCTTTTTTCCGTGTCTCCCCGTATCTCCCCTCTTCTCCTATCTTTTCTCCCCCTCTTTCACTCCTCCTCCTTCTCCTTCTTTACTTCACTCTGCTCTTCCAGCACTGCGGAGAATCGGTTGAATGGGCTTCACTGTAGTTTGGGTATAGGGAGGTGGGACTGGTGTGTGTATGTGTGAAGGAGAGGAGAGGAGGAGGAGAGGAGGAGGAGGGGGGTACAGTGATGTAGGCTAGAGGGATAAGACGCGCGCGCGCACACGCACGCACACAGACAGCATGGCATAAGAGCGTGCTGGCTGGAATTGAGGACACATCATGCAAGCTGACAGCATGACTGATTCAAACATACAGCAACAATTAGCATCGTGTAACTCATTAATGAACAAAACACCCAAACATGGATCTGTAGTGTGAGCGTGCGTCCATTTTTTTCTCTATAATAACTGAGGAAAATGATTGACAGCAGTGAATAAATCTCCAGCAGGGAGCCAGAGGAATGAAACGAACTCGAATGGTTTGATTTGACAGTTTTGTTTCTGTAGGGAGCCACTAAAATCAAAAGTTGACACACTGTTGGAAAATGTCCCTCTGCGTGAGTCAAAAAACAGTTGAGTTGTAATGAATGCGCGGATAATGCGACATTAACTACTAATTATTACTTAAAAAGTGATGTAACTATTATTATGAAATAGTAATACTGACCAATAATGTAAAGTGGTGTTAGTCAGGAGGGGGAATAACATCTCTAATGAGTTTATTATTACATGATCAGTTTAAATCTAACAATAATTCTTGATCTTTGATCATCTTATAGACTTTGATCAGAGGGTGCTGACTGGTTTTGATAATTCAGTTAGTCATAGCTTTGCAGCACACTGACATCATAACTGATTGAAACATACATTAGTAATTAGCATTGTGCAACTAATTAATCATCAAAACGTCTAAAAATGCGACTGCAATTCAGCTTAACTTATGAGAAAATATCAATCTATTCTACAGAAGATGATTAACAGAATTAAATGAACTTACAGAAAAAATATCCTAATATTATTGGTTTATATGGAAACGTCAAAATGTAAGATTAGAAACTCTATTATGTAATGACTATTGTATGTAATCAGTGTTATTACATGTTTTAAGTGATGACAATGTATTAATAATAATGACCAATAATGCAATGTGGCGTAATAATTAGATTAAAGTAATTTCCATTGCTGAAAGTTGTTATTACATCATCAGTTGAAAACATTTAAGAAAGAATAATTAATGATTATAGGATTATCTGGAATTAAAGGCACCCGGACAAAGAAGGTAATTGTCCTAGGTGCCCCAGACCCTCAGGGGACCTGGAGGCTTCAGGTTCAAGCTCACTATGGGCCACATTTTTGACCAGGGCCCCCCACAGAGGGTTAATGTAGTCCGCTTAGGTACAAGTTAAAACCAGTCGGCTTCTGTACAACCAGACAGCCTGGATTTACAAATTATTAAGACAACAGTTTGATTTCAAGTCTCAATAGTATTCATTTTCAAATCATTCTTTGACCCTGACTGGCCAACAGCAGCGTTTGTTTATATACCACTAAGATGCTTTGCCAAATTATTGCTGGCTGGTTTAAACTCACTGCCAACATTTTCTTTCAATGCAGTAAATGTGCCCTCTGCACAAAAATCATGATGAGCAGGTCTGGGTGAAACATTGTTACACCAGAGACCATGGGTCCGCGATGTGCATCCTGCATCTTGTGTGTTGTTAGGATTAGGCAAGTCAAACCATGTGGTTAAGGTTAGGGAAAGATAGTGCTGTTGGTTAATTACTGGGGAAGTGAACACATCCAGTCTTGTGTTTCAAGTCAGTGTTGACTAGTATTTAACCAAGATCAAGACCTTTTGTTATCTTTAGCCAAGTGCTTTGAGGTACCTACATGGCCATTAAAATGATCACTATGCTTTTGTGCCCAAGGAAAAATGCAGTAACTTTAAGCATTCAAGCACAACCACTGACATTATGATACATCTCAAAACCACTAATGAGAGAGAGAAAGAACAGGATGTCATATATTTACTTGTACAAAAAAAAATGGTGTGCATGTGTCTCCCTGTGCTTTTGCATGTGATATTGTGTATGTGTGTGTGTTTGTGTGCTTGTCTGTTATGCCTCCATACCCTCTTTCATGGTTGAGTGGCCCCATCAGCCCCTGGCGACCCACAGACTGATACAGTAGGCTGTGTTGCCCTGTGACTCACTGTGTGTGTGTGTGTGTAAATGCATGGGTACATGTGTAGGTAACAAGGGAATTCATCCCACCTGCCATCTTCACACACGCATACACACATACAACAGGGCCTACTATTTGTAATTAGACAAATATATTTGCTGGTTTGTTTGTTGTTACCAATTTAAGCACCATCCTGGGCACAGAACATAATAATAATCATATTCTTCTGCAGCACCATCATACCAATTCAATTATAGGATGTTAAATAAATATTCAGTTACAGTTTGAGCTTGAAGTTAACACACAAAAGAGCACATGAATATTTTTGTTCTTCAAAGGATATGATACGAACCAGACACCAATAGCTCAAGTTTAGCATTAGTGAATTAAATAAGTAGCTGAAATAATGAACTTATATCAGATTTCATTGTTGCTGCACTACATTGAAAACAAAAGTTGTTAGTTATCCCAATCCTACTGCCAGACAACCACATGAGTAGCAGACAATTTTGCAAACCTCTACAATATGTTCAGCAACAAAATGTCCAATGCCAGCATTTTTCAATTTTCTCAATTTTTACAATATTTGTGCAATGAATGGTATTGTTAGGGTTGGATACATATTGTGGTTATGGAAAACATATTATGGTTAAGGCATGCAAGGTTAGGCAACTAAAACACTTAGTTAAGCTTAGGAAAGGACTAAGGACTAAAATGGATAATATTAACATAGTTACAAGTTTTGAACTCAGGTCTCCTACATTAAAGTTAAATGTGCTACATGTGTATCAACCACCTGAACTTTCACACATTGACAATGAATATAAAAAAGATGCACGCAAAACAGATCACCAATCATTAAAATGGAACAGGAATATGGAAATAGCTTTAATTTCCTTTCATAAGAGGTTGAACTTTTGATAAACCGACAAAGAGGTCAAGTCAATCCATATTTGCTGCACTGATTCTACACTGAAGAACATTTCTTGCATGCAGGACTGATACAGCATGGATGCAGTTGGAAGACTCCTGCAATGAGACCCAGTTGAAAGCAGTCACTAATGCTGTGGCAAATACCATGAAGAAAGATCTATATTATCTTAAAAATTGTGCATGCCTGGGTCGTCATCCTTTCAAGTGCAACGAGAGCCTGATGTGAGCTGACATGTGCCATGTGGTCTCTATAGGGTACAAAGTCAATGGTAATCACATCCCTCAGAACATGTTGACGCTTCGCAGCCACTGGCCTATATTCTCACACACGTTTTAATAGTGTGCCTTCAGAAAAAAAAAATTATCAGTTCAGCCTCGAAATGGGTCGTCCCCACTGCAGGTGGGCTCTTATCCCTCAGCGCCACAGGACGAGCAATCTGCTTCCATAAGTCCCGTTCCCAGGGGAAAACTCTAAACTTCTTATCCAGGGCTGAAAAAGTGTGAGCTGGAGGGAAGATGGCTTCATCATCTGCACAGCTAAGGCTACACGGGAAGTTTGTAGTTACTGCAAAAGTGTTTCATTTACTTTTATCAATGATTTGATTTTATCTTTAGACTTGTGTGGATATGACTCTGTCAAAATTCTATTCTCTTATATGGTAATGTTTCTACTGTGGTGTACCACTGGTTTCCAATTTAGGTCTTATTTAATTATCTTTAATCTGTTTTTGGAAAACACAATATTCCTCAACACTTCTATACTGACGACACTCCGCTTTACCTTCCATTGAAACTGGGTGATGCCCCAAATATCTAAAAAACATTCTCCGGCTAAATGAGAGTAAGTTTAGCCCTCTAGATTCCCATCAGCAATACAGTGTAAAGATTCTTGGGATTGTGTTCTCACATTACAAAATCAATATGTAATTTTCGCAATTTGACAAATGAACTTTTTATAGATAAAATTTCTTTTAACTAAAAATATTACAATCACTTCTCCTATAGGGATCTAGAGAGTGCGTTAATTTTTTATTTGAGTCTAGACAAATGATTATTTGACTGATTAATTGTTTACATTTGTTGACGTGTTTCAGTTATCTTTTTCTACATTACAAAATTCCCTCTCTAAATAACTTTGTACAGCACATACATTTCAAAATGCTTTAAAAATAAAAAATTACTTGACCTGAAAAATGCAGCAGTGTCAGTTAGGAAACACTTTTTTTGAAACTTGGAAAATATTGTCCTGCCATTTTAACCTGCCTCGAGTAGGAGCACAAGATAAACAATTCGAAGTAATGTAAAACTCAATGAATTATATATAAAAATTATTTTTAATTTGAAAGCTCAAACACAGTTGAATATAAAGTAAAACTTCAGTGTGAAAACACTTCTAATGAGACCCAGAAAAGCATGGGGTTAAGGAACCTCCTGCCATTTATGGAGTAATGTGTGACTCATAATCACAAACATAGTAATAGCGAGGGAGCACATGGCCTATTTAGCTGGTTATTCCCGAGTCAGGCCAACTGGTCCTGAGTCAAATTGCCTTCTGCTGCTGCACAGATCAGGGAAAAAATAACTACTGATGCAGCCATCAGACTTTGCTGCAGTCTTAGTGTTTCACAACTGCCCCAAATACAACGTATCTGTACAGAAAATTTCACACTTTTGTCAGGTAGATAAATATAGTTCCCAGCACCCAGCTGTTTGCAAGCAATTTTGCAAACTGGAAGCCAGAAATGGAAGTGAGAGGTAACAGTTTGAATGTTGGGGACCTGCATATACAGAAATCATTGACAGTGGTGCCGTTAAGTGGTGTTCTGTTTTAAAAGTCTCCATTTCAGTTTCTAGAGGTGAGTGCTCAGCTGTTGGAGGAGATTTACCTCTCTGGCACTTTGCTTTTTATGACAAAGTTACAAAACAAATATACACTATGAAGGGTGAATCAAGAACATTC